CAGCACCTCCACCACCAGCAGCAGTAGCACAAGCAGCAGGGCGGCTCGGGCTGGGCAGCATGGGCAGCAGGGCGCGCACTGTGTAGGGCAGCAGGGCGCGAGGCGTGGGCTGCAGCAGGGCGCGACGCGCGGGGCAGCAGGGCGCGACGCGCGGGCTACAGTAGAGTGCGACGCGCGGAGCAACCGAGCACGACGCGCGGGCTGCAGCAGGGCATGACGTGCGGGCTGCTCGTAGGCAGCAGTGGCGCGCGGGGCAGGGGCTGCACGCGGGCAGCAGTGGCGCGCGGGGCAGGGGCTGCTCACATGCAGCAGTCGCGCGCGGGGCAGGGGCTACTCGCAGGCAGCAGGGGCTACTCGCAGGCAGAAGGGGCGCGCCGGGGCAGGGGCTGCACGCGGGCAGCAGGGGTGCGCGGGGCAGGGGCTGCTCTCGGGCAGCAGGGGCGCGCGTAACAGTAGGGCAGCGCACTAGGGCAGGCAGTGCGAGTAGCTGCAGGGCAGCGTGACACTGTGAGAGAGGGCCGGAGAGCGCAAGGGCGCTTCGTGCAGGAACTTAGCAAAACGATCGGTGGGCCCTAAAAACTTAACAGGTTTCCTGCTCTGAAGACCATGTCAGAATAACTGTGCAGGAATGATTGGATTAGCAAGAGTTGGGGTACAAGTACTAACCCTAGAAGTGCTGTACCCTATAAGGAGTGCCCCACTATAGCCTACAAGTAAGATTGTAGTTTGACAAAGTTTTCACCATTGTGCTAACTTGTCACCGCGAATGAATGAGACTAAAGTTATGTGTACAATTAATCTGCCGTACCTGCAGAATGGGCGGGCTCGATCGAATTGCCTGTATCCTGTACAGAGAAAAATGCATTCACCAAGAATTTACATTGGTCTATCAGAGTAGCTAAAATCAAAAGCCTCGCAAATCAGAGAAAACTCGTCTTCCAAAAGAATTACCCAGCAACGTCAGAGTGACACCCCAAGAACCACTTTGATTTTCAGAGAAACATAGTAATTTACTCTGATAAAAAAACCCCTTTTGCGTGTTGGTTGCCTTGACCTGGTTGTGTGTGGGCGGGCCGCGGGACCAACTGGTTGCTTGATGTCAAGAGAGGTAGTTAGAACTTAGGAGACATGGAAACCCTAGGAGCTAGGAAGAAGAGGTGTTTGGCCAAAGAAGGGGTTTGACTGTAGAGAGAGATACAAGATATAGGGCAAGGGAAGGTGGCCAAGGAGGGTATACCACCAACAATAGAAGAGATACTACACTAGCCAGGCTAATATGCAGCTATATATAGAAATACAATTTCTGACATCCCCCCTTAACTGCATACAAGCATAGCCGGTGAGGGGCGCTTTACCCTAAGTGCAGTCATCACCGTGCCGCAACTTGAACCACCATGGTTGAACCCCCACGGTAGGTGCCCGGTTGCGGTTGAACCCCCGCAACAGGTGCCGGTGTGTGCAACTCTAGGTGACCACGCCCAGAAACAACAAAGATAGTAACAAACCACGAAACGATGAGAAATCATTACTCTCTCTCTCTCTCTCTCTCTCTCTCTCTCTCTCTCTCTCTCTCTCTCTCTCTCTCTCTCTCTCTCTCTCTCTCTCTCTCTCTCTCTCTCTCTCTAATGGTCCTTTGTATTGATAAGTGTGGTTCGATACAAACATGCATATTCTAGGCCAGGGCATGTCTAGCATGAAGACTAGCAAACGGGGTCGAGCAACGACAATACAAAACCTTCAGAACACACACCCCTAGTCCCTCCCTAACCCCCCCCCCTATCTAAGGTGCCTCGAGCGTTGCGAAGCAGTCCCCCGGGTTCACCTCCCCCTCTGGTCCCCCCAGTGGGGGGTTCTCTGCCCTTGCCGCCTGGTTCAGCTTTGTGAGAAAGCTCACCGCCTGGGCTCTCTGGAGTGCGACCGACCAGCGCTGGCGGAACTGGTGGAGCATCTTCGCGGCCTGGTAGGTAGATGGGTCCGCGTTGAAGATTCTCCGTGCAGCTTTGTCCGCCAGCAGCTTCAGGAACGTGGGCACCTCGTCACACGGGCAGCCGTAGGTCTCTACCGCCAAGGGGAAAAATTCAGCAAACTCAGCCCTGCCGTGGTAGAGGTCTATCTTCTTGTCCGCTGCCTCCCGTGCTGCCCAACCCCTCCCTTTCCTTGCGGTCTCATCCCGCTTACTGATGGGGTCTGTTATGGTGATGTCTGCCAGCCATACCGCCCCCGAGCTCCCATCCCTGAAGGCCAAGTCGGCCTTCTTGTTGTCTACAGGGCTAAAGGCCGTGCACTCCTTGTGCACGGCAAATCCTGCATCCTGCGCCATGCGGATGCACTCGTCGCGCAGCTCGTTGTGGGTTTTGGTCCGACGGTGCCCTGTACTGCACCTAAGCAAGTGGTTCGGCAGCCTCTTATCCAGGATGGGGACCCGTTTGGTGCAGTCGCAGCAGTCGGGCACAGACAGGGGCAGGCCTAGCCTAAACTGGAGGGCGAACTTGAAGTGGCAAGGGTATAGGCGTAGGGAAGGCATGTAGGGGATTGCCATGAGCCAGTCCCCCGCCCCATAGCCCGTGAGGGACATGAGGCGCTGGGTGTGGCCCAGCCGGGGGTTCAGCTCCATCTGTCTGGATGCTGTGATCTGGGCGGCACTCCGGCCCCCTTGGACTAGGAGTGCTAAGCGGTGTTGCAGCTGGCCCTTGGGTTTTGTCTGCTCCGCCGATATAAGATCCCTCGCCTCCTGCGAGAGGCTGTCCCTGCAGTCCCTGATCCACTGCTGCAATTCAGTGGGGCTGCGATCAGCTGCTGCGGGGGTGTCCAGTGCTGCTGTCAGTGTGGCCCCTGCCTGTCCCCCCAACTGGCTGAGGAGTGAGTGTGCCTGCACGAGACTCGCCAGAAAACTGTATCGGCCTTCCACTGTAGGGTCGGCGAGCCCCAGGCCGCCTAGGCTTGGAGGGAGTGAGGCTTGGTCCCAGATCCGTGCGTCCTCTGCCTCGCCTCTCGGGTGGCGCACCCCACAAGCATCTAGAAGCGTGTACAGCATTGCCCGGCCCCATCTTGACCACTCAGCTTCGGGTAGCAGGTAAAGAGGTGTGGTGCGTGCTAGGTACGAGATGCGCCTGGAGATACACCGTGTCAGTAGCAGCGCCGCTACTTGTGGGTCCATGGTGGCTATGTGGGGCAGTGGAGACGACATTGTCTCTAGCTGTGACCGTAGAAAGGCCGCTGCACCGTCCGTTGTGCCTATGAAGCTCCCAAGCACCCGCAATCCCTCCGCGTGCAGCGGGACACCCTCAGGCAGCTGCTGGGGATCTGTGGCTGCTGCACTCCATGCGGCGCACTTCTCTGGGTTGTGGGTCAGTCCCACATCGCGCAATCCCGTCGTGAAGTGACGGAAGGCGTCAGAACAATCCGCAGCAGGGCCCAGGAATGTGACGTCGTCGGCAAACGCGAGGCACAGGACTGATGGGTAAGCTGCTACTGTCCTGGAAAGAATAGGGTGGATCCCCGCGGCAAACAGTAGTGGGCCTAGCGGGTCACCTTGTCGCACACCCGTTTCGCTAGCCAGAGCCTCGCAACCGAATCCCGCGTCAAGGAACAACTGGGCTGGGCGGCTATAGAATATTTTGACGAGGGGAAGGAGGCCCTGGAGGTCTGTGTCGCGAAGTGCGCCGACTATCGCTGCGCGGCTAATGGAGTTAAACGCATTTGCTAGGTCCGCCTGCAGGATAAGCGCGTCTGGGTTTGCGCTAGTGAAGGCTCTCGCGGCGTGGATTATCGCCTCGCTGCCGCCTTGGACGGACACGCAGTATTGTAGCGGGAGGAAGTGCGCGCGGCATTCGTGAGAGAGGGCTGAGAGGGCGGACTTAGCTGCTAACCGCTGGATACATTCGCCTACCGCGATGGGTCTAGTGCCTCCGTCTGGCTTTGCTAGAGCTATGAGGCGGCTAGCAGTTAGTAACGAGCAAATCTCCTCAGGCAGCTTGCCTTGCAGGATGGTGTTGACAAGGGCATGGAGGTGTGTGGTAACCCCCGCGTTGGCGAGTGATGCGTCGCGGAGGTGTTCAAATGTCATACCCAAAGGTCCTCCTCCCACCCCGTTCTCACAGCGACACAACATTTTAATGAAGTCCCTCTTTTCCATCGAAGCAGCTTGTACAGAATCGGGGATGCTCCAATCGATGGATCCAGGTGGCGCGGGGGGGTGTTTCGCTTTGAGAGCGGCGAGGATAGTTGCAGATGGTTCAGCGATCGGCGTTGACTCAAGGGCGAGGATCGCCCTGCGAAGGCTGCCTTTTCGTGCAAGGCCTTCTGCCCTGGCTCGTTTGCCGATGGCATCTGGCGCATGACGAGGTGGGTGGGGTCCGGTAATTGCGGTAACCGCCGCGTCGTACAGCTGCTGCCATTCGCCCTTGTTGAATTGGCAAAGTCGTTGCTTGACTGCCGGCCAATCGGGCTTCTCGGTTGACGGGAGGCGAAGGGTGAGGCGCGGGATAAAAAGTAACAGGCGCCAGCCTGCGACCGACGCAGGGTTCCGCGCGAGGTGGAGGAGTGGTGTCAGGAGGGCAGTTGCGAAAAGTGGGCGAATGTCAGCGGGGAGTTTACGCGACAGTGGGGGCTGACGACTGTCGCGTAGGGGGGACAGGTCCCAATTTTCTTGGCCTTGGCCAATTGTTCAGGCGAGAATTGGCGGGTCACTGATGCGGTGGTGTCTGGTCCTGGCTGGTTCGATTCGCCACCTGCTGCAGCTGGGATTGGGGCGGCTCGGCATGGTGCTGGGTTTCCCCGGCGCCTGCCTTCCCGTTCCTCCTCCACTAGCTCCCCCGATTCTTCCGTGGTGGATTCTTCCACCACCTCTGCTATAAAGGTAGGGTCTCTCCCCTCCTCCTCAGCTTCATCGTCCTCCACTCTTCGAGTTAAGGCGCGGCGTGCTTCCCTCTGGAAGCCATTCTTCGGTCCGCCTCCCCTTCCAGTCGCTCCTCCTCGTCCGCACCCTCGTCCGCCCCGCGATGCCCGTGTCGATTGGCGACGAGTATTATTCGTACTCGCCGCGGCCCTTTGTCGTGGCGTCGGCCGCAAGTGCCCCTCCTGCCTCGTCGTCCCCGGCGCCTGCGGCTGTGGGGATGTCGCCTCTTCCCGCACCTCAATCTGCGCCGTCGTCGGTGACTCAGGCTGGCCGTGTCCTCGCGCCTGCTGCCCCGCCCGTTCCCGCCGTGGCGACGTTGTCTGCCCCTGGCGTGGCGCCTGGTCATGCGCCCGCGTCGCCACCTGCTCCCGCGCTCGCCCCGGCGTCCGCTCCCGCCCCTGCCCCTGGGCCTGTTGTAGCGTCTGATCCTGCGCACGCTTCTGCGCCTGCGCCGGTGGTTCCACCTGTCCCCGTGGTGGTGCCGGCGCCCGTGCCTGTGGTTGCGGCGTCGTCAGCTGCTGTTGGAGAAGCCTCCGCGCCGCCGCCGGGTCGCCTGCCGTGGCGCCTTCTGCAGCTGCTGGTGCGGACCCGACTTACCAGCCACCTCCAGCCACCAGCGTCGGCCTGAGCTCGGCGGAGGTTCAGTCGGTTCGCGTGTCGCCTCCGGATGCTCCTGCGCCTCTGCCTGCGGCAGTAACCGTGCCGCCTCCGACCAATCATGCGGGTACTGCTCCCGCATCCCTTGCTCCTGTTCCTCCTGCTCAACGTCCTTCGTCCCCGGGCCGTCGTCAGCATCGGCCCCATTCCCCTGCGCCGCGTGACGAGCGAGAGATGTCCCGGCGGCGGCACGATTCACCTCGCCGCCGTGGTTCGCAGGCGAACTGGGCTGCCCCCCGTGGCGGCCGAGGGGGCTGGTGGGGAGGGCGTGGTCGCGGTGGCGGCTGGGTGTATGATCAGCCGGTGACGATGGCTGACTTGCAGCGAGTCGTGTACGACGCAATGCGCGAGGAGCGGAACGGGCGGGCGAGCCTGAGCAATTCGCCGCGCCACGCTCCTGTGCCGGTGTCTCATCCTCCGCCTGCGCCCGCTCCTCCTCTTCCCGTGACTGCCGCACCTCCTCTTCATGCTCCCGCCGCGTCTGCTGCTGCTCGTGGGAACCGTCTCCGGCTGCCGTGGGTTCCTCCTGTGGCGGGCGTGGAGTTTGTGACTGCGGGCGGGGGACCAGTGACGCCGCAGTATCCGTCCCTGCTGCCTGTAGCTCCTGATCCTCCGGCAGCGGATCTTCCGGTACAGTCGCTGGTTGGGCCTTCTCCTTCGGTGGATGTGCCCGAGGCGTCGCTCGGGCAGCTGTGGCGTCTCTCTGAGGGTCTGCGGGCTGTTCACCTGATCCAGGTGTATTGCCACGCGGCTCTTTCTCGTGGCGTGCCTCTGGTAGGCGGCCCTCTGGACGAGTGCTCGGATGCCGCTGACAGGATTGCCGAGCTCCTAACGCCCGTGTTGGCTGCGCCCGCGCGGGGTGGAGTTGCGGGCGTTGGACAGCTTGGGACTGTGCTCCGTGGTTTGCGCCGGGTGATGCGCGCAGCGACTGCAGTCGACCTGTTCGGCGCAACCACTGTGGTGGTGCGCGAACTTCATCGCTCACTGACGGGTCTTCTCGGCGTCCTTGATGCGGATCAGATGTAGCATCCGCCTTTCCCTGCGTCATGATGTTCCCGTGTGTTTCCTAGGCAGGTGTAGGTGTAGACATTTCGTGTATGTCTTGGTTTATTGTTGCTTGTGCTTTTCTCCCTTGCCGTCCCCTTCACGCGCGGCCGAAGGCCGCGCTGTCGAGCGTCGGCCGCCGAAGGCGGCCGGCGCGAGCCGCTCGGTTAGGAGAACAAATGACCACTGAAATGAATAATGAGAGCCAAGGACCTGGTCCTAGGCCTATATACTAGGCTGGAGAGGGCTGGAGAGGCTAAGGACTAGGCCTCTCTCTCTCTCTCTCTCTCTCTCTCTCTCTCTCTCTCTCTCTCTCTCTCTCTCTCTCTCTCTCTCCCTCTCTCTAATGGTCCGTATATTGATAGAGCTTTGAAGGTACAAACATGCAGGGTATATAGTGCAAAGTCTAGCTAACCAGATTGACAACCAAACAAACATGGCAAACCAAACACGCAACTACCACACAACCGCCTTCTCTAGAGCTCCAGAAAAGGCTCAACCACCGCAAAGCAGTCCACAAGGTGCATCTCCTGCCCAATGCCTCCTACAGGAGGGTTTTCTGCCGCCGCTGCCTCTCCTAGCTTAAGGAGGAGCCCCACGGACTGGGCCCTCTGAAGAGCCACCGACCATCTCTGACGGAACTGGTGTAGGAACTTGGCGGCATAGAATGATTTTGAATCGGCGTTGAAGTGTCGCCGAGCCGCCGTGTCCGCTAGGAGTTTGCGGAAGGTCGGTACCTCCGCGCATGGGCAACCGTAGGTGTCTACGGCTAGCGGGAAAAAGGCGACCGTCTCTGGTCGGTTGGCGTAGTGCTTAATCTTTTTGTCAGCTTGCTCCCTGGCCGCCCACCCTCTGCCTTTTTGTGCCTCTGGATCCCTGGTGCTGATGGGATCCGTGACAGTGACGTCACAGATATAGACCGCCCCACTGCTTCTGTCCGTCATAGTAAAGTCGGCTGTCTGTTCCTCGACAGGGCAGTATGCGGCCGATTCTCTATGAACTATGAACCCAGCGTCTTGCGCCATGCTAACGCAGGCATCCCGCAGTTCGTTGTGGGTGTTGATGCGCTGTTTGCCTGTACCGCAGCGGAGGAGGTGATTCGGGAGGCGGGGGTCAGTGATAGCCGTGTGGTCGGCACAGTCACAGTTTTTGGGGGTTGAAAACGGCAGCCCTAGTCGGAAACGCACGGCGTTGGCGAAGTGTACTGAACCTATCCGCCGTGTCGGTTCGATGGGGATCGCAGTGAGCCAGTCGCCGGTGCCATACCCCGTCAAGGAGAACATCCGCTGCGTATGGCCCTTGAGCGGATTCGGCTGTCAGAATGTTATGTTTGTCTAGCCTGCAGTGGGGTACTCAATAGTGAGTACAGCCCAATTTAGGGTTTGCTATATGTACTCAACTGCTTGCTAGTGAAACCACTTCCTTCCATTCATTCCTCATTTCTTCACATGGTATAGAGCAGGTTCCCTAGTGGGAACGCTTCCTTGGGCCCACCACTGAATTTTTTTTTTTCTGACCGAAGCGCGAGTCGCCCCTGCCCGAGGCGCGCCCCGTGGGCCGCCCTCTCATCGCGTCCCCTGCCCTTAGCGGCCCGTCGCGCCCTTCTAGAGGCCCCTCTCACGGCCCCTCGCGCCACCCCTAGCGGCCCCGTCGCCGCCCTTAGCGGCCCTGTCGCCGCCCTTCGCGGCCCCGTTGCCGCCCTTCGAGGCCCCTCGCGGCCTCTTCGCGGCCCCATCGCCGCCCCTAGCGGCCCCGTCGCCGCCTCCAGCGGCCCCGTCGCCGCCCCTAGCGGCCCCGTCGCCGCCCCTATCGGCCCCGTCGCCGCCTCCAGCGGCCCCGTCGCCGCCCCTAGCGGCCCCGTCGCCGCCCCTATCGGCCCCGTCGCCGCCTCCAGCGGCCCCGTCGCCGCCTGGGGGGGGGGCGAGCGTCGCCCCTTCTGCCGCCTGTTTTGGCGCCCTGGGAGGCCGCGCGTCGGCCCCCCCCCCCGTAACCTCCCTACCCGCCGTCCCGCCCTGCCCTGTGTTAGAGTCTGGGGGTGGCGAGTAGGGGGTGGCGGGTGTGTGGTCTCCCCTGCTCCTCCTCCTCCTCCTCTGTCTCCCACTGCTGCAGCTGCCGTTGAGGGGGGTGGGTGTGTGGGAGTCGATGAAGTGGTGCTAGGGGGTGGGGTGTGAGTGAACCTAGGGTGCAGCAGGGGGTGTGTGAAAGGGGGGTGGGATAGTTTGGGGAGGTTGAAGGGGGGTGGCCGCCGTGAAGCCCGCAGCTCCAGTCGCCCGTGAGACCGTTGCGCCAGTCGCCCGTGAGCCCGTTGCGCCAGTCGCCCGTGAGCCAGTTGCTCCAGTCGCCCGTGAGTCCGTTGCTCCTGCCGCTCAGAGTTAGCCGCGGAGCCAGTTACTCCAGTAGCCCGTGTGCCAGTTGCTCCAGTTGCTAGTGTGCCAGTTGCTCCAGTTGCCCGTGTGCCAGTTGCTCCAGTTGCGCCGTGTGCCAGCAGCTTTAGCTGCCGCCCACTACCTCCTCTCCTCTCATAGTCCCTCCTCCTCCACACTTGCCCTCGGTGATAGCCTCTAGCTTTGCTTACATTTGTGAACTTTAAACTGTTGCTTCTTGTACTTGTGCTCAGATTGTGTGGTGACATTGTGATCCACCCTGAGCTTGTGTTTTGCTTGCTTGTTGTGCTAATTACACCCCACTTTGGCTATGGGGGTGTGTCAGAATGTTATGTTTGTCTAGCCTGCAGTGGGGTACTCAATAGTGAGTACAGCCCAATTTAGGGTTTGCTATATGTACTCAACTGCTTGCTAGTGAAACCACTTCCTTCCATTCATTCCTCATTTCTTCACATCGGCTGCATACGCCTTGTCGCCTGGACTTGCACGGCGTATCTGCTGCCGTGCACCTTAAGTCCGAGCACGTGTTGAAGCCGCACGTCAGATCGGTCGAGGCGCTCCTTCTCGAGGATTTCTTGTGCATCTAGTGGCAGGGCCGTCTCGCATTCCGTGAGCCATGTGTGTAAGGGTGTGCCTGTGTCCCGCGGCAGTAGCATATGATTCTGTGCTTGTGCCAGGGCGTTCTATGGGTCTAGCGTGAGGGAGGAGAGGAGCAGCGCCGTCTGTGTGAAACTCGCCGAAAAACCGTATATCCCCTCTATCAGGGGGTCAGTGATGCCTATGCCCCCTAGCGATGGCGGCAGAGACGCTTGATCCCAGACCCGCGATTGTTCGGCCCTACACGTGGGAACGCGGATGTCGCACGATGTGAGAAGGGCGGTCAGAAGGTCCTTTCCCTACTGGCTCCATTTTTCCCGGGGGAGGAAATGCAAGGGCGTCGTCCTAGTGAGGTAAGCCACCCGTCTGGAGATACAGCGCGTGATGAGCAGTGCCGCTACTTGAGGGTCAGTTCTTTTGAGAAGGGGTAGCGGCTTCGCCATCTCGTCGAGTTGACCCGCTAGGTACTTAGCTGCTCCACTATCCGGCCCCAGGAAACTACCCAGGAGCCTCACGCCGTCCTGGGAAAAGGGCACTCCATGCGGGAGTTGAGCTTGCTCGACTGCTTGAGATCGCCAGGCCGCGCACTTCTGCGGATTGTGCGTAAGGCCCAGTTGGGCCAGTTTGTTGGTGAAAATGTTGAAAGCTGCAACAGTGTCGGCTGTGTCACCCAGAAACGTGACGTCGTCCGCATACGCCAAGCAGAGCACATCGGGGTGTGCTTCTGCAACTTCGCGGAGGGTGGTGTGTATCCCTGCTGCAAACAGAAGTGGGCCTAGGGGGTCACCCTGGCGAACGCCGCGTTCACTTGTCAGTGGTTCGGAGTTGAAGTTGGCATCCAGGAGTAGTTGCGATGGGTTACCGTACGTGAGTTTCACTAGCGGCAGTAGTGGCGAAAGGGCGGGATCCTGTAACGCCGTGGCGATGGCCTCTCGTGATATGCTGTTGAACGCGTTTGAAATATCCGCCTGTAGAACCAGGCTGTCCGGGCGGGCGTCCAAGTACGCCCTGGCTGCGTGGACTACCGCTTCCGCTCCACCTGGCACTGCCACCCCGAACTGTAGCGGTAGAAAAATTTCGCGGGCCGCCTCTCCCATGGACTGTAGGGCAGCCTTGGCTGCCAGCCTCGTCAAACATTCTCCGATTGCAATTGGCCTAGCCCCTCCCCCCGGCTTGGCGAGGGCTATGAGTCGTGACGCAGTCAGAAGGTTCGCGACCGAGCCTGGCAATTTTCCTCCCAGCATTGTGTTAACCAAGGCATATAGATGGGTGCTGACCAATGCATTGGTAATTGCCGCGTCGCGCAGGTGCTCGAATGTCATGCCTGACGCTCCGGCTCCCACCCCATTTTCGCATCTTCCCAGAATTTTGTCGAAGTCGGGGTAGGGGATTGACAGCTTTGGCCTTTGCGGCACGGGCCATGTCACCGCCTCGTTTTCAGCAGGTGGGTGCTTTTGGCGCAGCTCTTCCAATATTTCCGGGCTGGGAGTGCAAACTGGCGTTGACTCCAGCGCCAGCACGGCCCGTCGCAGGCTGCCACGTTTCGCCAGGCCTTCCGCACAACTGATGACTCCTGTTGCGTCTGGCTGGTGTTTTGGCGGTGGCGGTGTGTTGACTGCGTCCAACGCGTCCTTGTACAACTGCTCCCATTCACCACGTTGAAAAGCCCGGAGCCGGGCTTTGACACGTGGCCAGTTCGGTCGCTGCGGCGAGGTCTGGCGAAGTGTTAGACGCGGGAGAAACAGCAGCAGGTGCCAGGCTATTTCCGACTCTGGGTTTCGCGATAGGTGCAGTAACGATGTCAGGAGTCCTAGCGAAAACAGCTGCCGCCGTGTCTCTTCTCCCCGGTCTCTACCTCGCCCTGCCTTCCTCTTCCGTCGATTCGTCCTCGCTCGCAGGCAGGACTTCTTCCCTATATGTAGCGTCGTTAATCTCGTCGTCCGCATTAGCCACTTCCAAGTCATTTAAAGCCAGACGTGCTACAGCCTGATAGCCGTTCTC